TGTTAAGGGCAAGCTTATGGATGAATATAAGCATAAAAGTGATGGTGCTTCTATCACAGAGACTGCATTAAAGATGTAAAATAGGAATAAAAACAGTACCATACAACAAGAAACACGTGAATGCTATGTGTGCAAGAAACAGGAAATTTAAAAGCAGATTGCAGAATATGGAAAGCTGGAATGCAAACACAAACTAAACTACAGAAAGCCAAACATATGAAGGAAGAAACTGATTTTTTGTCCGATAATGATTGTGTTATTCAATACAAAATGTTGCACCTCATCTTTGCAGGCACAGTGTGTTAATTTAGGAGCTACAGTCATATGACAAATGACAGAAATTTCTTTATTCACCTTAACCAGAGTAAAACAGAAAAAAATCAACACAGCAAATAGGTAAATAATGGAATCCGAAGGAATAGAAGACCGTTTTCTTTGTTATCCCGTTTCCCAGAGTGTCACCAGAAAGATACCTGTGAAAAATGTCATGTATGCTCCTGCTCGTAAACTAATCGTTTGTCTCTGAAGAAGCTCACAAAACAAGGCAATGTAGTGACCTTCCAAGATGACAGTTGTGCCATCACAAAAAGGGGATATCTTACTTGCAAACGGCAAGATTATAGATTAACTTTATCAAATAAATTGCAATGATGTGGTTAATACTTCCAAGGAGGAAAAAAAATTCAAACTGCATTCACACATGGTACAGACAACTTGGGAACAGAAGGCCTGACATAATAAGGAAATAAACGGAGAATGACTATGCAAGTGGAATAAAAGTTAGTCCACGTGATCAAATAATGAAATGCACCAGCTGTAAAAAAAAAGGGGGAAAAAAATACAAGAAAAGCCTTTCCAAAGCAGAGTAAAAGCAGAGCTGAAAAAAAACCTCTGGACTTAACTCATGTAGATCCAGATCAGTCCAAATGGAAAAATTGATTCCAGGAAAGAAAAGGTATTTTCTCACTTTTATAGATGATTACTCCAGGTATACTATACTATATGTGTTACAAAACAAAAAATGAAGTACCAAAAAAAACTTGAATGGCATTTGGCTCAAGTAAGCAAAAAATTTGGCAAAATGCAGAGACTATTGCACACAGACAATGGAATTGAGTAGACAGGTGATAACACACAGGCGATTCTCAGAAAGCATGGCATAATATTTCAAACTAATGTACCATATGACTCAGAACAAAAACGGGGTTGCCAAAAGAACGAACCATAGTCTATACGATACGCTAACTAGCATGATGATTGCATGTTCTCTCCAAAATCGACTACCAGGAAAATCAACTTCATATGGAGAAAACTCCATATGAAATGTGGACTGGAAAAGCCCCAAATTTAAACCAGCTAAACATTTTTGGAATCAAAGCCTATGTGCACATCCCAAAAGAAAAATATATAACATACAAAACAGCTGCCGACATTACATGATGGGACAGATAATAGCATTAATTAATGGTTACTCACGAGGTACTAAAGACTGACAATTTTATAAAAGACAGAGGAGTTGTTACAAGGGAAAGATTTATAAAGAGCACTGCTCATAAACAGTCCTCATCACAGAGACATAGCACAACACTACCTGAAAGCTATGCAAATAAATAGATCTTCAACCAAAGCTAGATGTGATAATCCCTCTATTAACAGTCATGCACAGATCTGTAGTGTGCTCTCATGTGATCTGTAAGGAAACAGACAAGTTCACATTAGACTGAGCGTGCGTAATAAGGTGGCAACGCAGCCAGATTGCTTCCACCACACAGAAAGAGGAGGTCAGTGGCCGGAAAAAAAAACAAGTATTTACATTAAAAGTGGAAGTATGAAAAGAAATAAAGAAAAAAAAAAAAAGGCACGCACGTTTAGTGAAATGCATTGTGAAGGCTTTAATGTGATTTTTCTTTTTGGGTTTACCGGACACTAAGTGATTACAAATTTGCCATGCTAGTGAAAAAAAAAATTACCATAACATGTTCCTCATATTAATGATGAAAAAAAACAAAGATGAAAAACACTAAGAGGTCTATTTTACCTAAGATTCACACAACTGCTGCTGCTGAGGAATAAGATATAAAATATTTACATTATTCCTCATTCCAGCAGGCTACCTTCAGTGCTGTGACTGCTCCCCCACAGCTGCTCTGTAAGTTAAGCTTTGGTCGCACTCCAGCCTCCTAAGTGTACAATAGGGGTTTAATGCCCCTGTATTGTACACGATGATGCTGAGGCTCCATGCACCAACCAGAGCTTTAGGCAGAGGAGGATAGCATTGGAGCAGTGTATAATGTAAAAGAAACCTCTTCTGTAATTCCCTAGACATAACAAGCAATTAAAGTGTTACTAAACCCACAACAGTAAAATCAGTCTGTATATGCAGTAAAGCATGCTTTTGATTCTCACCGTGGAACCCTAAAGGGGTTAATCCTCCGCATTGTGTAAAAAAGGCGGTTTGATCCTGTCTTCTCTGATCCTCCCATTCTTCCACAGTCCCCAATCCGTTGGGTGTGTATTGCTAGAGAGTGGTTTTTTTTTTTTTTTTTTTTGGGAGGGTGCATGTGATCGGCACAGGGCCAATCAGCACTGTCTGGACAGAGGGTCAGGGGCCATGAAGTCTCATAGACCAGTCAGAGGAGAATGAAAACTCCTCCTACAAGCTTTAACCAGTGCTCGGACAGACACTGATATTAGTCACACAGGACTGCTGATGAGAAAAGGTACTTAGCAGTTTATTTTATAAAAGGTATTTATTAGTTTATATTTTCTAAAATAATTGCATTTCCATGTTATGTGTACTGTGGGAGACCAGATATAGTGAATGCAGGATCCTGGGTTTAGTAACAAGTATGAGCAATTTTTTAAAAATCCACCCTTGCAGTGCCCCCCCCCCCCCCCCCCCACAACAAGGGTGGATTTTTTAAAATACCCGGAGATGGTCTTTAAAGTATTACTAAATAGACAACAGTAAAATCAGTCTGTATATGAAGAAAAGCATGCTTGTTATACTCAATTTGGAATCTAAGGAGTTAATTCTTCACAACATGCAAAAAAGCTGTTTGATCCTGTCTTCTCTGATCCTCCCTTTCTTTTACTGTCCCCAATTCATCTACTGATAGTACAGAGCTCCAGGAGTCACTCTGCACATGTACAGTTTGGTGTGTATTGTTAGAGGGTTTTTTTTTTTTTGCTTGGGAGGGTGCATATGATCATCACAGGGCCAATTATCACTGTCCAGACAGAGGTCAGGGGTTATGCAGCCTTATAGGACAGTCAGAGCAGAATGAAAACTTTTCCTACAAGCTTTGACCAGTTCTCTGCTGGATACTGATAGAAGTCACAAGACTGCTATCACTGATGATGAGAAAAGGTATTTAGCGGTTTATATTTTTTACTAAAATAATTGCATTTCCCATGTTCTGTGTACTGTGGGAGACCAGATATAGTGGATGCAGAGTCCTGGGTTTAGTAACACTTTAAAGAATACAATGCAAGTTGTGCTTTTCAGGAATGCATTTTATATATCAAAGCTCAGATCATGTGTTATTAATGGAAAAACACTAAAGTTCCCATGTTGTGGAACGTATGTACAGTAGCTCTGTATTAATTTACTGTATATCCTGCATTACAATGTACACAGGTAAATGCAATGTCCCACTGTTGCCAAATGTATCTCTCATACTACTCGCCCATACTTTATCTGTGACCATTTTTAGAAACCAATAGGAAATCTCAATCAGATAACTAATATGTGAAATGATTAGCAGATTAGTGTGGCTGGGTAAATCTCACAACCCTGCCATGACGCCACACAAGTAGAACGAGTAGGAAATGCAGCAACATCTCTGATAACAGATATGATAAGCTTTGCTCTAGCAAGGCGTTCTATGATCTCAGCTGAACCACTGGCGGAATTTCTCAGCCTGTGAGTAATGAGGACCTTTGTATTTGAGGTCACAAACTGGACAGTATATGAGTGTAAGACCAGATAAATTTTCCCTTTTACAGTCTTTATCCTTGTAATGTGTTTGACACTTTACAACTTCTAAAATGTTTAAACTGTTGGAATTTCACAAATACTGAGTAATAATAATGGTTAAATAAAATTTGACAAAGTTCCTGCCATCTCATTATGAAAACAGAAAAACAAACATATTTTATAAAGGAGAGGTTAAAGTGACTGTAAACCCTTACCTTGTAAAACAACCCATTCAGTTTAAAAAAATGAGAGGCAAAACATTTGTGTATAGATATAAAAAAAACATTATAAATATCTTTTTTCCTTTTTTTTTTATAAGTGATCATATAACCTCTGTTCTTAGCTGCATAAGAACTGGGGGGGACAGCAGTACACTAATCTTCATAGTGAAAGCCTGTGCAGGGGGAGGAGGTGTCAAATAAGTCTGATCATTGGAGGAGAGCACAGAGTTCCCAGCACAGCTAGAGAACAGACCACCGTGTGTTCTCCTGCTTAGTGTGGTCAGATTTTAATAGGAAATCAGAGAGACAGGCAGGAACACCAGGGATTTCACACAAAAGGAAGCAATACAAAGAGAACAGAATACATTTATATGTGTCTGCTGTACATGGCACAGCAGCATCAAGAATATGAAATGCTGGGTTTACATATTCTTTAAAAACACACATTTATGACTTCCTAAGGACCCCCACAGACAAGCAGATGTCATAGGTCACTGTAGCCACTTTTGACTTTCACAAAAGGTTTTTTGGTAGCAGTCAAACCCAACAAACCCCACACTGAAATTCTTTATATCTCAAACTTGCTGAAGAAAAATCCGTATGTCATAGCTTCTTAAAATACTGCCTAGTATGAACACCCTCTCAGCTACACAAAATTGGGAGTTTGGCAAAAACCTGAATAATTCTGAAATCTCACTCAAGTGAAAATCAAAATACTGAACGAAAATACTTTGGCCATATTGTAATGGGAACTGAAAAAGCAATAGTAATACAATGCAGATAAAGTCAGTAGAGCTTACCTCTTCGTCTTTTTTTCTTTTCTCCATCCTCGCCAATTTCTCCATCTTCATCATCATCCTCATCTGATCCACTCTCTTCAGAACCAGAAATTTCCTCTCCTAACAAATTGAATGGATTTAATGAAACAGTGGGCCTAAACAACAGAGCACTTCTAAAATACCTTATGTAAGTGCTTTAATATTCATTTGCTTTTTTAGCACCATCTGAAGGACAAAACAGCTTGAATCTACGTCCTCTTTGTATGTTGTTTACTTCTGAAAAATTTACATTTGTCTGCTTCCAGGTGTCCAGGTAAAGTAGAACTATAGGCAAAACTTTATTTTTTTTTTTAAATTTGGGTAGAGCAAGGGAGGGTTATAGCCTGTGAGATTTTGTTTTGCCATCTGTGTCCTATTTTAGAGATTTCCCCTCACTACCTGTCCCTAGCTAAACAGGTGTGTGTAAAGAGGAAATCCCTGCAAATTAAGGGAATTCCTTGTGGACCGCAATGTCACCAGAAGTAGTGCCCCATTGGAAGATTTCCCCTCTATTACTTTTCTTGGGTCATCCCGCAATTTAGGATTTTCCTTACTTTCACTTCAATGATAATGGCAAACAGGACAAATAGAAAGGGCGAATCTTCTTTAACTGGGGCAAGGACAGAAATAAAAACTGACAGGGGTTCTAATCCCTCTCAACCCTGTCCAAAACTAAAAAAAAGTTTTGCTTGTAGTTATACTTTAACAGGTGTTAGAGGTTACCTGAAATCTGACTGTTGAACCATCAACTACCTGAACCAACACACCACTTCAGAACCTCAGAGTATGCATAATGCCATCATGATAAGATGAGCAACACAGGAACACCACAAACAGGCCCACATTACCAATGAGGTAAGAAAGGCCCGAATGAACTCTGACAACAGCTTGCAGCAACTTATACCCAATACTGTCATAAGTGGCCTGAATATCCACCTAGTAAAATGTGAGACCAGCAGCTTTGCAAATCTGAGAAACAAATGGCTGATGCTAAAAAGCTCATAAAAGCAAGTGATCTGCCAAAAGTGCACCTTAATTTTAGGCTAGAAAGTGTAAATGGGCAGACAAGCAGGGTTTTTAATGCAGAAGAGACATGCTCGGTCTCTTCTGCATTAAAGCTACTTACCTGCCTGTCCAGCCCTGTATAGTAAAGCTGCATAAGCGCAGCTCACTACACAAATTCAGCAATGCTGAAGCTAACGTCATCTCAACCTGGCTAATGACAGCGGCTGGAAATTGAGACCCGGAAAACACGGAAGTTCCAAGGAGAACACAATGCTGGATTCAAGGGGAGTATAGTTCCGCTTTAACAGCCAAAAGGAGGCACTCCTTTAGACTATATGCTCAAACGAGGTCTTGTCTAACCCACGTAGGTGGAGTGAGAGGCAGGAGCCTTCAGGAGGGACATAGAAGGAATCCGATTGCCGGAAAGAGACTGTAGCTGAAGGGTATACTTTCACAGTAAGTACCATGTCATGACAGTGGAGAGAAATTTCACTGGGATGCTTTAGAGCAGGACATAAGGAGAGGAGAATAAAATGTCCTGGTTGAGTGAAATGAGAATAACCATCCTGAAAGTAGAATTCCAGTCTAAGCCTAACTATACTTGAAACTTCTCCAACCCCATTCTAGGCCTATTCTAATATCTGTAAAGAAAAGGTGTCTATACTTACCTATTCTGAGGGTTTTCCGGTCCGGTCACAATCTCCCCAGTGGCCAGCTTCAGTGAAGAGGAGGGATCACCAACAACGGCTGCAGAGCCTATATGGTGACATCACTCATAGGTTTTCTATGGGGCATCTGTTGTCAACTATCCCTCCTCTACACTGAAGGTGCTGGGAGCTGATCAGGTGACTGGACCAGAGCATCCTCAGAACAGGAATGTACACACACATCTTATGTTTCACAGGGTAGTTAGAATAGGCTTAGAATGGAGGTGGGAGCATATATATGTGTAGTTAATACACTTTTCTTCGTAATATAAAAGTCCAGTCAAATTTTAAGGCCTCAGGAAAACCTTACCTTTGTGTAACACTAGAAAAGGCTCTTTACAGAATAATGCTGTTACCTCAGAGACCCTTCGTGCCAGAGTGATAGCAATGAGAAAGGCTACCTTGGCAGAGTCCAGACAAGGCAATATCCTTAAAGGGTTCAAGAGTGGTCTCTGAAGAGCCAAAAGAAAAGAATTGCCAGGGCTGAGATTTGCTCCTTGATGGTACTCACAGTCAGATACTGGTCCATACCAATCTGGAGTAAGGACAGGATGTGTCTCAGAGTACCTCCTAAGATAGAATTTCCTAGCGTTGCACCACGTAAAATATGGAGTGTTGGTAAACTTTGCAAGAAGTCAAAAATTCCTAGCCTTCAGGAAAGTAGGGAAAACCAAATCTGATATCCACCTGTCACTCAGGACCTGAGCTTCTACAGCCGTGCCTTTAAAGCCAGTGAATTAGAAGCAAGATAGTGGACCGGGACAAAAGAGCCACACAATCTGCAGGGCACAGGGAAGAACCCATTTCCCTAGATCCAAATGCCGACAGCTGGAAAAATCCACCTGACAATTTTCCACACCTGGGATGTAAAGGACAGACAGGGCTGGAACATACAGTAATGCCAAAGACAGAATTAAGTCTACTTCTCTTTCAGTGGTGCTACATCTGGTGCCTCCTTGATTACGGATGAAGACTACTGCTGCAGAAGGCCCAGGCCTGTGAAGGGAGAGACAGAAGACAGTCCTGGGGCAAAAGATCCTGGACAGAGGCAAGTTCACAAGTCAGGCCCCAACAGTTTAATCGGTAGGTCAATAAGTCAGTTCCTGCGACAATTTCCAAGAGTTGAGGAACCAAACAAATCTCTACAATGTTTGCACGGTCTGCTGAACATTGACTGACAGGGATATGGAGGGTTGGTCCTTTAACTGGAGAATGTTCAGGTTTCCCACAACAAGAATGCCTGGAGTAGAGTTATGACTAGGGCAAGCCAACAGCGAAATGTAGATAGTGCTGGTGAGGAAAGAGAGATGCAACAACTGACCTAACTTATGTTATGTTCTTGCTAGTTCAAACATTTCACAAATCAACAGGACCATTCTCAATTTGAAAACAAACGTTTCCATTTGCCTTGGAAACTGTGACCAGGTTCGAGTAGAATCTCTGAAGGAATTCCCCATTAGGGACTAGGATAATGACTCAATGAGAAAGGAGCTGATAAATAGCAACAAAAAGATCTGCCGGTTTTTGCAGGGAATGAGGCAAATTCAAAAGCATGAAGCAAGGAGGAGTCAAACTCCAGTTTATAGCCCTTGGAAATGACAAAAAAGCCCACCAAGTTCTGGGAACTGGGATAAGAGCTTGGGGCCAGAATTAGCTGGCTTAGAAATCCATGTGTTCTGACAAGAGTGTTTTCCAGACTTAAGCTGGTCACATACAGTTCTTTCATTCAAGAACTTTTCCTAGTCTCAAGAGCAGGAAATCTACCTTCTTTTGTTTTTTTTTTTAGTGGGGGGGGGGGGGGGGGGGGAGGAGAGTACTCCTACCCCACATGAATTCGTTTATGTACTTGTCCAAGGAGGGACCATATAGGCATTACTCTATGAAGGGCAGCTGTTGGAGGCACATCTTGTTCAAGAGTTCTGCCAACCAGCATTTGGGCCAAAGGATGCTTGGCATATATACAGGAGGTGGCTCATCCTATAAATGTGGCAAAAGGTATCCATCAGGGTATTCACTCAGAGGAAGGCCAAGGGTAAAAGCTCGAAGTGGTGGGGAACAGAGGGAAATGTTAGGTTGAAGCTAGTGTCTTGGGCCAAATGCTTTGTCAAGGCAGGAAGAGTGCGGGGTTCCCCACTGACAGCTGAATGTAAAAGAATTGCTGGCAATTAAAAGAAAAAAAATAAAAACGGCGTGGGGGGTCCCCCATCCCATCCATACCAAGCCTATTGGATCTGGTATGGATTTTGAGGGGAACTCCCACACCAAAATGAAAAAAAAAAAAAAAAAAAAATGGCATGGGGGTCTCCCCCAAAAGCCATACAAGACCCTTACACGAGCATGCAGCCCGGCAGGTCAGGAAAGGGGGGGGGGGGGGGGGACAAGCGAGCACCCCTCTCCTCCTGAACCAAACATGCCCTCAATATGGGGGGGGTGCTTTTGGGCAGGAGGGCTCCCCACTACCCTGGCCGTTAGTTGTGGGGGCCTGTGGGCAGGGGGTCTCTTCCCCACAACCCTGGCCATTGGTTGTGGGGGGCCTGTGGGCAGGGGGCTTATTGGAATCTGGAAGCCACCTTTAACAAGGTGGCCCCCAGATTCCGCCTCCCCCCCCCACGTGAATGAGTATGGGGCACGTGGTCCCGATACTCATTCCCAAAAAACAAAGTGTAGCGTGAAAAAAAAGACAGAACACGGTCTTTGACAAGACCTTTATTAAAAGAAAAAACTAAAAGAATGTGCCCTGCAGTAGATCCAACCTCAATCACGATGCCACCCCAAAAAAAAAAAAAAAATTATCTATCTATCCATCTATCTATCTATCTATATATATATATGGAAAAAAAAAAGTCTCCGCTTCCGACGATGGCCCCCGCCGTCTGCCTGCTCCGGTGGTTTGACAGTTCTTAAATAGGTAAGGGACGGGGCCACCCAGGGACATCAACCAAGTGACCCCTGCCCCATGTGCCATCATTGATGTCACATGGGGTTGGGTCACATGCAGGAGCCATCATCGGAAGGGGAGTCTTTTTTTCGGGTCGGCGGTGGGCATCATAATTGACGTTGGATCTACTGTGGGGGACATTCTTTTAGTTTTTTCTTTTAATAAATGACTTGTCAAAGACATGGCCTGTCTTTTCACACTACACTTTTTTGGGGGGGAGCCCCCCTGCCCCAAAGCACCCCCCATGTTGAAGGCATGTGGCCTGGTATGGTTCGGGGGGGGGGGGGGGGGGAGGTGATCACTCGTCCCCACACAGCATTATTTTTTTTTTTTACATTTTGGCGTGGGAGTTCTCCTCAAAATCCATACCAGACACTAAGGCAGTGGTTCTTAACCTTGTTGGAGGTACTGAACCCCACCAGTTTCATATGCGCATTCACCGAACCCTTCTTAATTGGAAAAAATAAAATATGATTTTTAAAATTCAAAACATAGGTATATATTTATACATAGGTGCACAAAATGAACAAAACCGTTAAGAACAAAGAACAAAACCATTAAAACATGATTTTCACACAAAAACAAAAAACATATTAATATTTACTGCACGAATCATATGAGTCGGGTGTGGGTCTTCACCTCTGCCGAACCCGCGAGACTGACTCACTGAACCCCTGGGGTTCGATCGAACCCAGTTAAGAACCACTGTTTTATAGTATTCATCCCCCATAGTAATTCATCCCCCATATAGTAATTCATCCCCCATATAATTCATCCCCCATAGTAATTCATCCCCCATAGTAATTCATCCCCCCATAGTAATTCATCCCCCATATAGTAATTCATCCCCCATATAGTAATTCATCCCCCATATAGTAATTCATCCCCCATATAGTAATTCATCCCCCATATAGTAATTCATCCCCCATATAGTAATTCATCCCCCATATAGTAATTCATCCCCCATATAGTAATTCATCCCCCCTATAATAATTCATCCCCCATATTAATTAATCCCTTATATAGTAGTAGTAAGTATAAGTAGCAAGTAGTAAGCCAAGTCCCCCCTGTGTCAATTCACTTACCTTTGCTCCTCTCGCCGTATTCCCGCGCCGTTCCGGTCTTCAGGGCGGACTGTGAGAGGAGCCTAGCTCCTCTCACGTTCGTCACGCTGCCCCGCCTACACACATCCTGACAGCCAATCACTGGCTATCAGGATGTGAGTGGCAGCGAGACTGGCCAATCATTGCATTTGAGCGCGTTGCCCTGGCTGTTTTTTTTTTTGGATCACGCTGCAGAGTCCCTGCCGCCCAAGAGGAGGGAGGGGAGCGGGCGCCCGGCACACAAGAGAGCCGCATTAAAGCGTGTAAAGAGCCGCATGTGGCTCGCGAGCCGCGGCTTGCCGACCACTGGGCTAAGCGATGTTGCGTGACCACCTGCAGCCAATGATGGACAAGCGGGGCATGTCATCACGAATCATATGAGTCGGGTGTGGGTCTTCACCTCCGCCGAACTCGCGAGACTGACTCACCGAATCCCTGGGGTTCGATCGAGCCCAGGTTAAGAACCACTGCACTAAGGGCTTGGTATGGATGGGAGGGGGGAACCCCGTGCTGTTTTGTTTATTATGGTGCCGGTTTTTAAATGTAATTACAGCTTTTTTTTTTTTTTCTTCACTATAGCTCAGAGATTCAGCGGTCACTTTCCCTTCAGCTAAAAGAAAGTTTCCTTTTAGTTTATTTCCCCAAGTTAAAAGAAAAAAGTATCCTTTAACTCCGAGGAATGTGACAGCTAATTCTGTGAGCTATAGTGAAAAAAAAAAAAAAAAAAAAGCCGGCAATTGCATTTAAAAATCGGCACCGACATACACTTCATATTGCGAAAAAAATTTGAAAAAATTTGTAAACTGAGGCATTTTTTTTCAATAGATTGTCATTCGTAAACCAAATATTATGTTAACCGAGGTGTTTGTGCTAAGTGGTGTCTTTTAAAGTGAACTAGTTCACTACAGGTGTACCTCGGTTTACACAAACAAGTCTGGAAGCACATCATAAGACATCCCCAATGTCCTCGAACATTCGTATCAGGCAAACTCAAGTCAAACATTACCTTCCTCAAGTTTCCTTTTGAGTTCTTCAATTTCTTTCTGAAACTGGCGCAAAAGTGCATCTTTGGGATCTTCATTGATTCTGGCCTTATTCTTGATATTTTTTGCTCGGTTTGCATAACGGAGGGTGCTGATTGTCTCATCATAGTTGTAATCTGCAGGACCGATGTTTGCGCACTGTAAAAGTACATACATGGATTGCAAATCAAATCTAAAAAACTAGTATAGTCTGTTCTGACTGGCTTATTTGTTAAAAAATATCACAATAATTTACCAATACCCCTCAGATGCTGACAGTTTTTTTAAGTCAGTAAAAAATAATGATCATAAATATACACTGCTAAATAATATCACCTGAATACTAGGTAATGTACCTGTGTTTTTTCCTCCAAATATTTTGTCTAAAGAGCTCATGGCAACAATGTATAAAGAAATCCTCAAATCCCAGAGGACGACATCTTTAGGAAAATGCATTGTTTTTAATAAACGTTAACGGGGTTGCACTATGAAATATTTTCTAGTTTAAACCCTTTCATACACTATTGAGAGCGGTATGAAACGGTTAAGCCAGTTGCTGGTGTGAACATGCAGTGACCCATCCATCCTCCCTGGATTTGTCAGTGTGGAGTTTGGACACTATCCACTCATTTGATCTCTATGGCTTGAGATCAATTTGGTTCGGTAAGTCTTACAAGTTTTTTCTGAGGAGCACCTTATGGGAAGATTAGTTCGGCACACAGCACTTTTTTCCTCGCATTGGATTCGGGGACTTATTGACGTGCATTTATTTTCCACTGCATTGTACTATATATGAAATATTATTTGATGTTATATGTAATTTAGGTTGCAAATTTTTGTATTTCATATGGATTATTTATCATTTGAGGATATATGAATTTGAGTTTGCACATATTTATTACATTTAAAAGTGCACTTTTTTAATGTGTTAATTTCTCAATTACTGCAAACTTTGAAATATGGAATCATGCAAAGGTGAACAGAGATCATTTAATCTAATGTGGATTGTCATTTATTGCTCCTGTATTCCTGCATGAGCTACAATGTTAGAGGCAGCGTCCTTTTTTAGATGCTCTTAACATAAATGAACTCATAAAATGGACCTAATGCACACTCAAGAATAATAACTAAAAATGGTATAATAAGGCTTCTCTGATCTGTTTATATTTTATTGACATGTCATAAACATTTGTCGGTAGGTCTTATTATTAAGAATGCAAAATAAATAAAAAACATAACAAAACTTAAAAATAGTATAAATAAACGCAAACAAAATGTTTCAAAATATATCCAAATTACAACTGTGATTTTTCATAAATACATATAAGAAGAAACAGATTGATTTATCTGCACTGTCTCCTCCTGGAAATTCTAGATGTTTGGCTGCCATGCACGATCGCTGATTTCAAAGCATCCAAGCTCCTGATCTGGGACACACGTGCAGCAATTTAAATTCACAGAGAAAACAGGTATCCTTGTTCAGGGTACATCTTTGCATTAGAATGACAGCCAAGTAGCTAACAATGTTAAAAAGAGTTCAGCTTGGCAGCCTTCATAACTCACCTCAATACATGTTTGCATAAAGAGGACCATCAGCCTCTTCTGCAACTTCCCTACACGCCTCTCTTTCCATGACATGCATATCAGGCTGAGGTTTTTTTTTTTTTGTTTTCTTTCCCCGTGCACATCATTTCCCTTGGGCATGATGCGCACACTACCTGCTGTGCCTCCTGGGATATGTACGCCACATATAACTAGGAGGCATAGCCTTCCATAGAGGTAAGGAGGAGGGGGCGGACCGATCAGTGTGTCATGGGGAGGCCCACCTGCTGGACCAGGAAGAGCCAATGGGGCTCTCGACTACGTCAGAATAAATATGGTGTGGCCAGATAGAGCTGTGGCTCAGCATAAGAGGATCTCAGCGGGACAACGCTGGATCTGCTGGATGGGCGAGTATCTGAAATGTGCCACCAAATGGTGAGCGAGGTTGAAAAGAAAAAAAAAAAAGAAAAAAAAAAAAGGAGGGGGGGGGGGTGGTGATTGGTCGGAGGCCCGCTTTAAGTGGCATAAAATTTGCTATTTTGGGAGCGCTTTATATTTCAGAGCAGTGGTCCTCAAACTGTAGTAGCTCTTTGATCCTCATTTGGCCATAATGAATGCTTGCAGTGTTTCTCCTCCTGACACCAACAATGGGGCACAAATCCTCCTATTGAAACAAACGGTGCAAAATTTTTCCCACCAACTCTCCCAACCATCTCCCAATGACACCATTGATGGGGCACTATTCCTCCAATGGCAACAAGGATGTGGCAGTATTTCTCCCACTGATACCATCTATAGGGCACTGTTCTTTCTACAAACGCCAACCATGGGGCATTATCTACCCTGACTGACCGCAGGCACAAAGCAATTTTTTACTCTACTTCCACTTCTCACAGTCTGATCTCCCTAAAGTCTTCAGGATAGTGCTTAACAAGTTTGAAGACCCCTATTCAAGATAATATATTGGCACACAAACTAAACCTAGGTGTCTGCAACCCTCGTGGGACTATTCAAGGTAGTGGCAGTAGTATGCTCATCAAAATGCTTTAAGACATTAAGTGTTATGAAAAGGTCAACTTCCAGTAAAATTACTCATTATGATGTTATTGGAGAAACTCAGCCTGTGTGAAAATAAATATTACAAGAGTTTCCCCAATGTCAAAAAAGTAAAAACAAATAAGCATATATGAAGTACTGGTCAGCACCTAGAGGAGTAGGCTGCCAGTATAGTAGGTGTTCAGCTCTGCAGCTCGTTGTGAACATCTGGTCACAACAGCCTTACTATTGTCATAAGAAGATATATAAAGGAGTATCAGATGATCAGGTGTTCTCTACCTGCTGCAGAGCTGCTAACTGCCTTCTTTGCAAGTGTTGGACTCTAGCTGTAACCTATCATTTTCTGCTCTGCAGAACACTGTCCATGTTCCACACAATTTTTTGTTTCTTTAGCTAATCATGGCCTATGCTTTAAATAACACCTCATGATAAACGCAAGGCATAGTATTGTCATGCCTAGTACCCATCAAACACTGCAGTTACTGAACACTACTGAGCAACCCGCTAGACCCCAACAAAACAGCATTAACAAAAATACATTACATGATGGAAACATGAACACTGATGGACTTATTATTGCATATTATTTTAATTCCCACTGCAGTAATGACAGACAAACGAAAATGTATTCCTAGGCTGATTTCCCCTGGAAGTAGACCAACGGTGCTCCAAAGCTTACAGTGTCTTCCTGGCACTTTAACCACTAGCCTACAGGGCACTTATACCCCCTTCCTGCCCAGGCCAATTTCCAGCTTTCAGCGCTGTCACACTTTGAATGACAATTGCGCGGTCGTGCAACACTGTACCCATATGAAATTTTTATCATTTTTTTGAGACAGATAGAGCTTTCTTTTGGTGGTATTTAATCACCTCTGGGATTTTCATTTTTTTCTTAAACAAACCAAAAACCACAGAAAATTTTGAAAAAAAAATTTTTTTTTTCTTAGTTTTTGTTATACAATTTTGTAAATAAGTGATTTTTCTCCTTCACTGATGTGCGCTAATGAGGCTGCAGTGGTGGGCACTGATAAGCTGCACTGATGGACACTGATAGGTGGCACTGGTAGGTTGCACTAATGGGCATTGACAGGCATCACTGATGGGCACTGAAAGGCAGCACTGATACAGGACACTGATATATGGCACTGATAGGCAGCACTGACTGGCACTGTTAGGCGGGACTGGCACTGATAGGCGATACTGACTGGCACTGATTGGCATTGATAGGTGGCACTGACTGGCACTGATGGGTGACATTGAAAGGCAGCTCAGATGGGCACTGATATGTGGCATTGATGTGCACCAATATGCACTATGTGGCATTGATGGGCACTGGCACGTGGCACTGATAGGTGGCACTTCTGGGGCCACACTGATCATCAGGGCACACTGATCAGTGCCCTGATGATCAGTGTACATGTCCCCTCCGCAGAAAGCAGATTACCGGCTCTCCTCTCCTCTCAAGCGGTCAGTGTGACAGCTCGAGAGGAGAGAAATGCCGATAACCGGCATTTCCGTGTTTACATGAGATCAGCTGTGATTGGAAACAGCTGATCACATGACCGAGCCGACATCTTCGGCTCTTTCCGTGATCCGCTGTGTCCGAGGGACACAGCGCACCGGCGATCGCCGCGCTGCGCACTCCGAGCCGCGCATGCGCAGTGAGTCTGGTAGGACGTCATAGACGTCCTATCAGAACGAGAGAACCACCTTGCGCCCGAATTTTACTATAGGGCGGGCGGAAGGTGGTTAAACAGCATAGGAGTATAAACAGAAGAGCCGGCAACTTGTTCTCACGATAAGAGTACTTTATTCATAAAGGGAGGGAGGAAATGTTTTATAGCTATGAATAAGGTTTTTTTTACCAAAACGCGCAAGCTGCTGTAACTTGCACACTGTACCCTTCATGAATAAAGTACTTTTATCGGGAGAACAAGTTGCTGGCTCTTCACCGTATACTCATATGCAGTAATGATAGGCCTACAAAATGTTTAATGGTACTTACCATCATTGTCTTGGAATTCCCTCCCAGTGAATCCTGTAACAGTCGGGTAAGTTTGGAGTTTCTATATGGTACATGAGTGCTCTTCCCATCAACTAGAGCGGAGATGACATTTCCCAGCGTGGAAAGGGACAAATTAATTTTTGTTGCTTCTTTCAGTCTTTGTCCGGTTGCTCCTGTCTTTGCTTGTCTCTCAGAACCCTAATTTGTTGAAGAAAACAGATGTTGGTAACAAGTAATGCACTTTCATATTTGGTGCTTTGTTTTTTTTAGTACATCTAGGAGTACATAAAATATAACAAAATATGCAGGCACAGAATTACATACATAAATACAATAATTCATATATCATTATTTCAGTGCCACTGTGTTAGCTGGTATGGTTTCACTGACTGCATCCTCAAAATATGGGGTGACGACACTAAGTCTATTGACTTATTTCATAATAATCTTAATTATCTGGTATCAAAATAAACACATGCCTTTCCTACACTTTTTAATTTATCTAGTGTTTTTAAGTGACTACCTAGAAGCCAGTTAACGTATGTCAAGAGGATAGTTTCTGATGCTGCTTTATTGAAAGCTAGATTGGACAAGATTGAGAATAAATTGAAATTCAGGGGATATCCCCCTTATTCACCTAAAAGGGAACAACTAGATCTCACAGGATGTGAACATAAAAATATTGATTAATTATCAAAAACAGTTACACTCTTACCTAAACTTATATATTCCCCTATACCGTCATGTAGAAGAGGCCAAAAAATATTTTAGAAAAAATTGAGAGTGCCAATTATATTAAAAATGTCAACTTGACACACTAAATTCCGAAAAAGGAATTTTTATACAGTAAATGCTGTAAACTATTTGAATAAATAGTAAGAAAACATTGAGCTATCAAGGATAGTAAATGGTAACTTATCCCTTTCCAGAACACATGTACTGTGAGGCAAGTATGGTAAGATTGAAATTAATACGTCAACTGAGGACTTCTGCAAAATATACAGTTGGAAATGAAGTGTGTGATGATAGTGGTCACCCTAATAAAGTTCTCTCAGATCAAACCCAATCTCTGCACCCTCAGTCCCTAAATCAGTCCTCATTCCTGCACCTTCATACCACAAATCAACCCAATTCCTGCACCTTCACACCTCATATCACCCCAATTCCTGCATCTTTAACCCTCGGATCACCCCAATACCTACACTTTCACACAGCAGTGAACCTGCAAATCACTCCATATCCTACAAATTTGCACCCTAGATCAGGCCCAATTTATGCTTCTTCAGGCCTCAGATACGCTCCAGTTTCTGCACTGTCACGCCCCAGATCACCCCAATTCCTGCACCTCCAGACTTCAGATCAGCTCCAATTCCTGCATTTTTACAACCCAGATCAGCCCCAATTCCTGTTCCTTCAAACCTCAGATCAGTCCCAATTCCAGCATTTTCACACATATCACCCAAATACTTGCATCTTTACACTTTTGATCATCTTCCAATTCCTGCACCCTCCCAGCTCAAAGCTTCCAATCAGACCCAATTTGTGCACCTTCACACCTCAGATCAACCCAATCCCTGCACCTTCACACTTCAGCTCACCCCAAATCCTGCACCTTCACACCTCAGATCAGCCCCAATTCCTGCCCTTCACACCTCAGATCAGCCCCAATTCCTGCACCTTCACACCTCAGATCAGCCCCAATCCCTGCACCTCCTTGCCTCAGATCAGCCCCAATCCCTGCACCTCCAGGCCTCAGATCAGCCCCAATTCCTGCACCTTGCACCGTCACACCGCTGATCAGCCCCAATTTCTGCACCTCCAGGCCTCAGATCAGCCCTAATTTCTGCACCTTAACACCTAAGCTCACCCCAATTCCTGCAACTTTACACCCCATTGTCCAGAGACAAATCTTCTGCTTTCAGGCCTCAGATCAGCCACAAACAGACACCAGTGGGAATAGAGGTGGGCAGGCACCAGCCATGCTGCTTATTATGTATGCAGCCGCTGGCAGCTTTATTGTTTGGGAGGTGGGTCTCCCAGGACTTCCCTTGGGTGCTGTCCTTGATGTTGTCGTGTGCCACCTCCGGCACTAGTGCCAGGGGTTGCCTACCCCTGGGCCAGACCATTTACAATGAATTGGTTTGATCAGACTACTGTCCTTGCAGATGTGGATTATGCACGTGTCTTAATAGCATTCAATGCCCACACATGATCAGGGGCTCATCCATCCACACCAATAATACTTACCTAAAATTGAGGGTTACTATACTTGTCAAACCAGCTAGGTAATCTATAGTCACAAATGTCTGTGTGAACATTGTTATGTGGGTGAGACCATCCAAAAAGGCCAAACGACAGGATCATACATTACTGATATTAAATCAGGGACAATCAGGTACATTTGTTATTGAAACGATTATAGATCATGTGCTCAAAACAGGAGGAACGGGGATTATGAGCTGCAGCTCAGGAAAAGTAAAGTCTACTGCATTAAAGGCTAAGTTCACCTTTTGGGAAAAAATAATAAAACACATTTTTGCAGAAAAAAAATCCTTATTATTTTTCCCACAGCAGCTTCCAAAGCATTGCACAAACTGTAAGGGCTGTCAGTTTGAAGGCTGCAGGGCTTGTGGATGAACCACGAAGATGTTCACCAGTGCCCTTGAAGTTAATTAAAAACCACAATCTGTCTGCCACAGTGGTAGATGCGACTTGGAGCTCTTTCATTCACAGGTTCCTGTGAATGAATGATGCGGCTGTACAGGTGAAGCCCGGCATTTCCGTCCCGATTTTTAAAAAATGTGAAGTGGGTGCAAGGAGAGGAACCACCGCTCGCTGTCACTATGTGGAGATCAGGTGGGTGGGCAAATTTAGGAGAACGTTACAGGTTTCAACCTAAATATGAGTGTAACATGAACCAAAAGGTGAACATCTACTTTAACCATTTAGATATTCTACAACCCCATAGTTTAAACTCAGATGTTGACCCGCATTTATTTTTCTGAGTTATTTTTTATGTTATTTCATGAATGATTTCTGCATCTAATTTTTTTAAAAATTATTTGTTGTGGCTTATTTTATCTAAGAATTGTAACATTTACTTTTTATATCTTCCTACGATTGAGCACAGCTCGTTTATTTGTTTCAACTTGGCTTTCACGTTTGTGATGGAACGCCTGTCACCCTGACTGGGTGATTCCGTCAGAGAAACCACTACCTCGCCACTGGGAGACAGGACCAAGGTGTTCTAGCTGGGCAATGCACCCAAGCACTGTGGGAGGAGTTAGGGTGGTAAATTTGGCTATAATAATAAGAATATATATGTGAGATAACAGTAAGTGGACTTGCCATGCAAGAACACTTAACAAGTAAGTGGAGAACGTCCCAAGACACACACAAACTTTTATTTACTTTATGTTTTTGGCAGCTAGGAAAAAAATTGTGAGCATATCATGCAATAGGCAGGTGTTGTTTGACAAAGTTTGGAATCCCTCGCTCTCTTACTTGCAGGTGCAGGACAACTAGTGGCGGACGAGTAGACAGGTGGTGTGTAACTCCTGGACAGGCGTACCTCTTCCTTCTTTTCCTTTTTTATCTCTTTTTGCTCTGTTATTTTCAAATTCTCTACTTTTCTTTGTTTCTCTTTAGGATAATTCTTGGTATTATTGAAAAGACTTTAGTAGGCATTCTTAGGGTCTATAACAGAGTACTGCTATCACCACCAAGTTTTTAAACTTTTACCAGCTACACTCAGCCTTATCTAAATTGCTTTCTCTTTGCCAGTCCGATAGGTTAGATTTCTTTTACTTCTTTTGTTTTAGTATGCCCAGGTCTTTTTCTTTATCCTAGGAGGTGGCAGGGTAGTATCAGTTGCTCTACAGAAGTTTGATTCCCTGCATTACACTGGATTGTGTGCATATGGCTTTATTTCTCTCAACATGCTTTGTAATATAGGGTTATCAAGCATATTTAGGGGTGTCTATACCCACCCCTTCTATTCTGTCCTTTGGCTCCTCTTTGACTTGAATGCTATGTCAACAAAATATGCTTTTTATCAATTAAAAAAAAAAAAAAAAAAAACACCACAGATAATTTGCACCCCTCACTTTAAACACTTTGTTAGTAGTGATGAAGGAAACTTATGCCCATATTTTTTTTTTGTTCAGAATTTGTGCAAAATCTGAAATTTTTCTGAATGCAGAAATATCAGATATCTGTATGGCAAGGTCAAGACCCCAAAATGTATTATATGTATTTTGAGCTCATATATTTAAAGAGAAATGGTGATTTAGATTTTTATTCATGTTTATTTAATAAACTATTAATGATTAACAGTCATATATTTTTTTTCCTATATATGAGGAAATACAGTAGAGTCCTTTCTGCAGGAAATTTTGGCTTCACGGTAGGACTTACAGCAAAGCTCCACCCAAAAGGAAAGTTCTGCTTTAAGGTTTTTCCCCCCGCTAAGGATTGGCACCTTTGGGGAGCGGGTACCAGATTGTAACAGGTACTCGCTCCCATTTCCGCTATGATTGCCCAGGCGATTGGAAGCAGAAGTTGTCCTCTATCCCCATAGTCTTCTGGGACACGCAACAGGTCCCAGAAGACTATAGGACCATTCAGAAAGTGCAGATCTACTCGCGCATGTGCAGTGGGCACCTGGCTGTGATGCCGCAAGCTGTTACAGCCGGGTGCCCACATTGAAGATGCCGGCGCCGGGTTGAGAGGACGGCCAGTGAAGCCAGCTGCAGTGAGGAAACCGCGGGATCTTAGGACAGGTGAGTGGCTGTTTTTTTGCAGCTGCTGACTTTTATTTTTCTATATTGTGACTGGAGCTCAGCTTTAATGTTTGCAAATCTTGGCTTTGGTGAAAGTTAAAGTACTTCTCAAACTACCTACTTCATATGTACATACAAATTTACGCAGCTACATAAATTGCCCATTTTATTTTTAGACAATGCGCCCTTCTTCTTCAAAACTTCCAACTCCTCCAGTCAGAGGCTTTAGGTTAATGGTGCTGGAGTCAAAACGCGTAGACATGCAAAGACCATATTACTAACTGGCAAAAGCCTCTAAGACTCCCCCTTTCTACTCAGGGATTGTGTTGATGACCATTAAAAAAAGAAGAGGCTGTCTGATCCCCACAGGCTGCTAGAACGTAAAAGCAGCCAACTGCAGGACTGTTCAGGCTGAGCTTTTGCAGAAAAAACCTGGATGTTCAGACCTAAGGCAGTTTATACAGAAGGTAAATCTCTGCCTATGTATTTCTCTCACATATGTTCTATTTTAATTTTCCAGGTTGTAACAGGTTTAAAAAGGAGAAGTAGGGCCAAAGCTCTCTTGTGGGTCACAGGAGTGCACTTAGTGGGTCACAGGAGTGCAGAACTTTCAGGAGACAACATCCTGCTGTCGGCTGATGTCACTCAGCCTTCCAGACTCTGGAGGGATCCGAAATTTAATATTGGGATCCATTCAGATGCCTGATCAGCAGCTGGCTCAGCTCCTCCCGCTCCTTCCACAGCCCAGCACTCCAGTGATTGCTGGAGGGTAGAGCAGAGATCCAGTGACTGACATTCCCCGATTTTCTGCTCACTGAAGGCCGAGAACTGAGCATTCAGCGGTCTTTGAGACAGCGGGGGACAGAAGCATCGAAAGATGCTGCATCCACCTAGGCAGGTATGTGTGTGTTTTTTTTTATATCTAACAAACAAGAGATCCCTGTGCTCAAATCCAAACAGCTAGTGCATGCATTTATCCATCAGGTACTAAAGGGGTGTAACCACATATTAACCACTAGAAATTCTGAGGACCCTCTGCACACTGCTATATACCCTTTCAAGCAGACTATGCAATAAATAGGGATATTTTGTTCACATAGAGGGATTACTTTGACGCAGTTGGCCAGCTTAAGCATGTATTGCAATATATGTGTGAACAAAATATCCCTATTTATTGCATAGTCTGCTTGAAAGGGTATATACCAGTGTGCAGAGGGTCCTCAGAATTTCTAGTGTTAATATGTGGTTACACCCCTTTAGCACCTGATGGATAAATGCATGCACTAGCTGTTGGGATTTGAGCACAGGGATCTCTTGTTTGTTGTATTGTTGGGTCAGTAGCCAGACCTGAACCTTGTAGCTCTCCCCCGTTGTGTCTTTTTCCCTATGCTAGCATTGTGTCCACAGTAGCATTTGCGTAGGCAGAGCAGAGTAAGTCTGGCCATAGAGGAATTACTTTGACGCAGTTGGCCAGCTTAAGCATGTATTGCAATATGTGTGAACAAAATATCCCTATTTATTGCATAGTCTGTTTGAAAGGGTATATACCAGTGTGCAGAGGGTCCTCAGAATTTCTTTTTTTTATATCTCACACTTCTGTTTTGAAATAAAAATGTAAAGGGTAGTCAAAGCATAATTCTGCTCAATTTGTTTTCTTGCTCGTGCAGTGGGGCTGTGTCAGCACTGCATGGGCTACCTGCTCATTTTGTTCTAGGGTAGAGGACAACAAAGATATACTCACCTGACTTGTCGATCCTGCCCGCTCAAGACTGGTCCTTTTGGCTCTGTGCCCCAACTCCCTCCCGGTGGTCCAATATTCCCAACTCAACTTACCAACCAGCCTGCAACCAACCAAATTATCCTATCCAACAGTTCACATTAAAAACAGGGGTTTAGTTTGCACACATTTGCAAATATATGTACTCCTTGCTACAAAGTCCAATTATAGGTTGGGGCAGTTGCCGCTTGTTTTCTCTTTCTTTGAAAAACCTAATTATCTGTGTCACAAGGCTTTCATTTAAAGAACTAGAAAAAATACTGCATATAAAAGAGTGGTTTAAAAACTTTTAAAAAATAAACCTAAATACCTTATATCTGTAGTTTGCCTTCAAAATGTTATTACCCTTCTGCAGCCCAACTGGGATAACACCTACTTAGTATTTGTTACATTTTCCCATTTACACAACTTGGGGGAAAAAAAAATTAATTACTGCTTCCTTTTACTTGCCCTTTACTGAAAACTCCACAAATGAAGTTTCTCTTACCACATAATGTTAAGGAAGAGGCTGGGGAGTTTATGTTTACACTAAAGCTGTGTATACACATTCAGTAGGGACAAGGGACCAGGGATCCAGGAACCCCCCAAGGTTCCTACTTTGTCAGTGGGCATAGATGGGAGTTTTCTCTGATTTTCAAATGGTGCACACTAGCTGCAGTTTGCCCATGGCCTGCTCCAAAAGAAACATCTAGAAAGAGAAAGCTTTTTTTTTTTAATTTGCTATGTGGATAAGAACAGAAAACAGACATTTAATAGTTTTTTTTTTTTTTCAAATTCTGACTGCAAAAGTAGAGCCATCTCTTTCAGATAAGGACTAGTGATGTAATGGGTTAAAAAAGTGGGTATTTCCAGAAAACTACCTTCTACCTTCTCATTTTTCCAAGCAGTAAAACAAACAGTACCTCCCCTCCTGTGTTTTACTGTGACCAGAACCTGAAAATTACAGATTTACCTGTTTTGCCAGCTGATGGCAGGTGGCAGCCAGAGCAACCAAAAATGATAGAACTGATCTCAAGAACACTGTATTTCACTGGCCATGTTTCAGTCCTCTGCTTCACTGGATAGATATATATATATATATATATCCAGGCTGAAAAGAAAATTCCCTTTAACACATCTTTACAAAAAATAAAGGACAGAAAAAGAAAAAAGGCTTACCGCAAGATCTACTAGATGCAGTTTTCCCATTCGTTACGTGCATATTGCCATCACCTCCCTTCTCACTGCACTCTATAGTGATAGTGAAGATTGCATGTGAACGAGAACTGTGCTCATTCATGTTTGTGGCTCCAACAGACCCTGAAGATAAAAGTACAATTTCTAAAATCTGAAATTTAATTTAAAAAAAAAAAAAATAAATAAATATATATATATATATATATATATACATATATATATAAATATATATAATACATACACACACACGTGATATAAAAAGTCTAAACACCCCCCTGTTAAAATGTCAAGTTTCAGCGATGTAAAAGAAGAGAAAAAGGTAAATAATTTCAGAGCTTGAGAACTTTTTCCCCTTTAATGTGACCTATAAACTGTACAACTCAATTGAAAAACAAACTGATATATCTTTTAGTGGGGGGGGGGGGGGGGGGGGGGGGGGGGGTAAACATTAAAAAATTAAAATAATGTGGTTGCATAGGTGTGCACACCCTCTTATAACTGGGGATATACAGTCATGGCCGAAATTGTTGGCACCCTTGATATTTTTTCCTGAAAATCAAGTATTTCACACAAAAAAGGTATTGCATTAACACATGTTTTGCTATACACATGTTTATTCCCTTTGTATGTATTGGAACAAATATAAAACAGAGGCAGAAAAGCAAATATGACATAATGTCACACAAAACCCCAAAAATGGGCTGGACAAAAGTATTGGCACCCTTAACTTAATATTTGGTTGCACACCCTTTGGAAAACATAACTGAAATCAGTCGCTTCCTATAACCATCAATAAGCTTCTGACACTCTCTCACCCGGAATTTTGGACCACTCTTCCTTTGCAAACAGCTCCAGGTCTCTCTTATTGGGAAGGACACCTTTTCCCAACAGCAATTTTAAGATCTCTCCACAGGTGTTCAATGGGATTTAGATCTGGGCTCATTGCTGGCCACTTCAGAACTCTCCAGCGCTTCTTTGCCATCCATTTCTGAGTGCTTTTTGACGTATGTTTGGGGTCATTGTCCTGCTGGAAGACCCAGGATCTTGGACGCAAACCCAGCTTTCTGACACTGGGCCCTACAGTGCGACCCACAAAAATCCTTTGGTAATCCTCAGATTTCATGATGCCTTGCACACAGTCAAGGCACCCAGTGCCAGAGGCAGCAAAACAACCCCAAAACATCATTGAACCTCCACCATATTTTTACCGTAGGTACTGTGTTTTGTTCTTTGTAGGCCTCATTCCGTTTTCGGTAAACAGTAGAAAGATGTGCTTTACCGAAAAGCTCTATCTTGGTCTCATCTGTCCACAAAGACGTTTTCCAGAAGGCTTTTGGCTTACTCAAGTACATTTTGGCAAACTGTAGTCTTGCTTTTTTATGTCTCTGTGTCAGCAGTGGGGTCCTCCTGGGTCTCCTGCCATAGCGTTTCATTTCATTTAAATGTCGACGGATAGTTTTCGCGCTGACACTGATGCTCCCTGAGCTGCAGGACAGCTTGAATGTCTTTGGAACATGTTTGGGGCTGCTTATCCACCATCCGGACTATTCTGCGTTGCAATCTTTCATCAATTTTCCTCATCCGTCCACGACCAGGGAGATTAGCTACAGTGCCATGGGTTGCAAACTTCTTGATAATGTTGCGCACTGTGGACAAAGGCAAATCTAGTTCTCTGGAGATGGACTTGTAACCTTGAGATTGTTGATATTTTGCCACAATTTTGGTTCTCAGGTCCTCAGACAGTTCTCGTCTCCTCTTTCTGTTGTCCATGCTTAGTGCACCCCCCCCCCCCCCCCCCCCCCCCCCCCCCCCCCCCTGGCACAGACAGACACACAATGCAAAGGTTAAGTGAACGTCTCTCCTTTTTATCTGCTTTCAGGTGTGATTTCTATATTGCCCACACCACCTGTTACTTGCCCCAGGTGAGTTTACAGGAGCATCACATGCTTGTAACATTCTTATTTATCCGCAGTTGTGAAAGGGTGCCAATACTTTTGTCCAGCCCATTTTTGGAGGTTTGTGTGACATTATGTCGAATTTGCTTTCTTTCCTCCCTTTTTTTGTTTTGTCCAATACACACAAAGGGAATAAACATGTGTATAGCAAAACATGTGTTAATGCAATACGTTTCGTGAGAAATACATGATTTCCTGGAGAAATATCAAGGGTGCCAACAATTTCGGCCATGACTGTAGCTGTGCTCAGAATTAAGCAATCGTATGCACAATCATGTTAAATAGGAGTCAGTACACACCTGCCATCATTTAAAGTGCCTCTGATTAACCCCAAATAAAGTTCAGCTGTTCTAGTAGGTCTTTTCTGACATTTTCTTAGTCGCATCCTACAGCAAAAGCCATGGTCCTCAGAGAGATTCCAAAGCATCAGAGGGATCTCACTGTTAAAAGGTATCAGTCAGGAGAAGGATACAAAAGCATTTCCAAGGCATTAGATATAACCTTGGAACACAGTGAAGACAGTCATCAAGTGGAGAGAAATATGGCGCAACAGTGACATTAACAAGAACTGGACGTCCCTCCAAAATTGATGAAAAGAGGAGGAGAAAAACTGGTCTGGGAAGCTGCCAAGAGGTCTACAGCAACATTAGAGGAGCTGCAGGAATATCTGGCAAGTACTGGTTGTGTGGTACATGTGATAACAATCTCCCGGTATTCTTCATATGTCTGGGCTATGGGGTAGAGTGGCAAGACGGAAGCCTTTTCTTACAAAGCAAAACATCCAAGCCTGGCTAAGTTTTTGCAAAAAAACATATCTGAAATCTCCCAAAAGCATGTGGGAAAATGTGTTATGGTCTGATGAAACCAAGGTTGAACTTTTTGGCCATAATTCCATAAAAGATATGTTTGGCGCAAAAACAACACTGCACATCACCAAAAGAACACCATACCCACAGTGAAGCATGGTGGTGGCAGCATCATGCTTTGGGGCTGTTTTTCTTCAGCTGGAACTGGGGAATTATGAACAGTTCCAAATACCAGTCAATATTGGCACAAAACCTTCAGGCTTTTGCTAGAAAGCTGAAATGAAGAGGAACTTCATCTTTCAGCATGACAATGATCCAAATCAACAAAGGATTGGCTTCATCAGAAGAAGATTAAAGTTTTGGAATAGCCCAGCCAGAGCCCAGACCTGAATCCGATCAAAAATCTGTGGGGTGATCTGCAGAGGGCTGTGCACAGGAGATGCCCTCGCAATGTGACAGATTTGGGAGTGTGTTTTTGCAAGGAAGAGTGGGCAAATGTTGCCAAGTCAAGATGTGCCATGCTGATAGACTCATACCCAAAACGACTGAGTGCTGGAATAAAATCAAAAGGTGCTTCAACAAAATATTAGTTTAAGGGTGTGTACACTTATACAACCATATTAGTTTTTTATTTTTACTTCCCTCCACCTAAAAAAGATTTCAGTTTGTTATTCAACTAAGTTGTACAGTTTATAGGTCACATTAAAAAGGTGGAAAAAGTTCTGAAATTATTGATCTTTGTCTCATTTTTTACATCACAGAAAAACCTGACATTATAACAGGGTGTGTAGACTTTTTAACACACACACGATAATCATCTCAACTACAAAAACCTTGGTTGAGTGGACCTTTGAGTAAGGGCTTGTTCACGCCACGGTAATGCACTTTATATGTGCATTGCAGTATTCTGTATTTGAAAAAAGAACATTATCTATTTTTTTTTCATACACTTGGGTGCATTCACAACTCACTCACTCAAAAAGAATGAAGCCAGCCTCAAGCATGCATTGATGTTTACCAGTTGTAGAAGGAATGGATCCTAACATACAAGACTCCATGACATTATAATACTGGTATAGCTCATCCACCAGCAGAAGTGCTGGGGCTCACTGTAATGAAGGGTTGTCACTAATTTATTTTAATATTGTAGGGGAGGATCTACAGATGGAACTCCAAAAATTAGAATATCGTGCAAAAATTCATTTATTTCAGTAATGCAACTTAAAAGGTGAAACTAATATATGAGAGACTCATTACATGCAAAGCAAGATAGTTCAAGCCGTGATTTGTCATAATGGTTATGATTATGGCTTACAGCTCATGAAAACCACAAATCCACAATCTCAGAAAATTAGAATATGGTGAAAAGGTGCAATATCCTAGGCTCAAAGTGTCCCACTCTAATCAGCTAATTAAGCCATAACAGCTGCAAAGGGTTCCTGAGCCTTTAAATGGTCTTTCAGTCTGGTTCAGTTGGAATCACAATCATTGGAAAGACTGCTGACCTGACAGTTGTGCAGAAAACCATCATTGACACCATCCATAAGGAGGGAAAGCCTCAAAAGGTAATTGCAAAAGAAGTTGGATGTTCCCAAAGTGTTTTATCATTAATAGAAAGTTATGTGGAAGGGAAAAGTGTGGAAGAAAAAGGTGCACAAGCAGCAGGGATGACCGCAGCCTGGAGAGGATTGTCAGGAAAAAGCCAATCAAAAGTGTTGGGGACTTTCACAAGGAGTGGGCTGAGGCTGGAGTCAGTGCATCAAGAACCACCACACACAGACAGATCCTGGACATGGGCTTCAAATGTCGTATTCCTCTTGTCAAGCAGCTCGGGAACAACAAACAACGTCAGAATCGTCTTACCTGGGCTAAAGAAAAACAGACCTGGTCTGTCGCTCAGTGGTCCAAAGTCTTCTTTTCTGATAAGAGCAACATTTGGAAACTAAGGACCCAGAATATGGAGGAAGAATGGAGAGGCACACACTGCAAGATGCTTGAAGTCCAGTGTGAGGTTTCCACAGTCTGTGTTGATTTGGGGAGCCATGTCATCTGCTGGTGTTGGTCCACTGTGCTTCATTAAGTCCAGGGTCAACGCAGCAGTCTACCAGATTTTGGAGCACTTCATGCTTCCTTCCGCAGACGAGCTTTATGGGGATGCTGACTTCATTTTCCAGCAGGACTTGGCACCTGCCCACACTGCCAAAAGCACCAAAACCTGGTTCAATGACCGTGGGATTACTGTGCTTGATTGGCCAGCAAACTCGCCTGACCTGAACCCCATAGAGAATCTATGGGGCATTGCCAAGAGAAAGAGGAGAGACATGAGACCGAACAATGCAGAAGAGCTGAAGGCCGCTATTGAAGCATCCTGGTCTTCCATAACACCTCAGCAGTGCCACAGGCTGATAGCTTCCATATCCATGCCACGCCGCATTGAGGCAGTAATTGCTGTAAAAGGGGCCCAAACCAAGTACTGAGTACATATGCATGCTTATACTTTTCAGAGGTCCGATATTGTTCTATGTACAATCCTTGTTTTATTGATTGCATGTAATATTCTAATTTTCTGAGATTGTGGATTTGGGGTTTTCATGAGTTGTAAGCCATAATCATAACCATTATGACAAATCACAGCTTGAACTATCTTGCTTTGCACGTAATGAGTCTATCTCATATATTAGTTTCAGCTTTTAAGTTGCATTACTGAAATAAATGAACTTTTGCACGATATTCTAATTTTGCGAGTTTCACCTGTATTTACCTCTGTTTTTATATTTTTTTGGAATAAAATTTGGTATTTTTACATATTTGTATGTTCTGAGGGTATTACGAGCACCTTAAAAATCCCACCTATACCCTATTTTCTTTTGACAAGTCTCCATGACATGTCACAGTATATAGCAACAGTATAACATTAAAAAAAAGTCATAGTTTAACTTGGTCTATGCTAAAATTATGTCATCAGTCTGCTACACACAAAATGCAGCATACGCAGCTGCAATTCTGCCATAGGTGAGGTGTCGCCAGTGCCAGAACAGCCAGTGCAACAAAGCCCTTAAGCCTCACAGAAGAAATAGCTGGCTGCCTTAAAAAAAATTATAACCTTTAAAAAAAAAAAGAAAAAAAAAGAAGTAGGTAAAGTGGAATGTGTCTAAAAAAGCATGCAGTGAAAACCAGTCATGAGTAATACATTACGGTCTCACCATATTACCCAATAAGCATCTTAAGTCTAAGGGAACAGGTCTTTTGTCACACTGAGTGCAATGTAATGGAATCTTCCACTGTATGACTAAGATTATCCACAACAAATGTAGTTGGTATAAGGGGTTTTTACCTTTCAGAAATAAAATGGGAAACCCTACTGCCATGATCTGATGAGGGTCACTCCATACAGACGGTCAGCAATCAGCTATTTTAGAAAAAAGTAGCTTCAAAGCTGCTGGGTCTTGAAACATCAGTTAAAGAAAAAGCCAGAATTGCATTACAATGAAAAGTCGACTGTAAAGGATCCAAATGGGGTAAATGCCACTGATCTTGATACACTAAAGTAGGGCTTGCTACTTAGATGCCAAAATGAATATTATATACTATACATAATTACTTCATATTGCGATACTAAATGATTTAATATGGTTATATACCTTTGTTAAGAAAAGCAGATCACAATCTCCTCTTGGAAGAAAGGTGACACAGTAGCTGCTTTTGAAAACCCAATAAAATCAATGCTCTAAACACCCAGGCTGCCTACACTTGAATGGTGAGAGAACACTGGCCTCTGGCCACCAACTGCAGGCACTTTCTTCTTTCAAACTAAAAAAGTAGAAATGTCTGCAGTATACTCCTGAAAAAAAACTTACAATTTTTCTGTTTCAATATTTTTATTAGGAAAGTTTTGTTTTTTAAGAATATAACAAGCTCAAAATATGCCCTTGCAGGGGCAGAGCAGAACAATAATATATAAACAGAGACATCCTGCTGACTTGTATTAGTCAAATAACAAAAAGTCCAATGACATCAAGAAGGGACGGCAAACAGCCGAGCCAAATAGCAGCAGTAATCCAACATAATATTGGAAAAAAAAAAAGAGAAAACAAAAGAGGTTAGAAGAAAACAGAAAGAAAATAAAACAAAAGGGAACCAGAAAGAAAACATGAAAGGGGGGAAACTAGAGGGATCACAGATCCGGGGCTATCACAGGCAGCGACTATAGGAGGCTATAACTAGTAGGAGGCAGGGATGGTAAGGAATAACGTATCCAAGGTTCCCAAACCTTAAGGAATCTCAGATGAGAATCATGAAGAATGCTAGACATCTGCTCATTGAACAACATAGCATTCATCCCGGGTCCTCACCCCTTGGAAGACTACCGAAGGGGTTCTCAAAGCTTGAGCTATAGCATGTTTGGCCAAAATGAATAGGTAGGATGCCAAAAACTTACGATTTTTATGTCCCAAAGTCATAATCCGGTCCATATCATCTGCATTGTTTACTACATAACCCGATAAATCCTTGATGTAAACGCCCACATCAGGTCTCTCTTTAACCTACAATATTAAAATAATAACGAAGCATTAATTTCACATCAGGGATTCACAATTCCAGGCACCTCGTTCAACTGCTGCAAACATAACCTTCTCGAACATCTATTCTTGATTTCAAAACTTAATGGACCATACAAAGGCTTATTAAGCATCATTAAACCCAAAAGCAAACATTTATTATATTGCAGCTAACCAATTCTTAGATGTGATGATGGCTGCATTAGTTTATTAGGCTTTTTGTTCCTTTAATTTTCACCTGGTAACTGGGCCAGTAAGCCTGTTTTTGAATACAGGAAGCTGTTCCACAGATGTAGCAGTTGCAGGGTTGAGACAAACCATTTACCACTGACAGGGGTGCTTGCCATGATCAAATTATTTATACAAATTTTTTTTTCCAAAAAAGGAAATAAACTATTTGCTGTAACGCTAAAAGAACAAACCTCCTGCGCTAGAAATGGGGCCCTATCATAAAAGCTGCTGACACTTAACCTCCTACCAAAGTGAGTGAATGAACAATAAATAATATAAAGTGCAGCGCTAAACCTAAAATACTATATATAATAATAAATATATATATACGTGCTAAAAATCTGTGCAAAATATATATCTGTGCAATACACAGTACAGCGCTAAACCTAAAATCCTATATATAGTAATAAATATATAGATAAGTGCCAAAATCTGTACAAAATGTGCAAATAAAGTAAAGTGCAACACGTGTTATCACTTTGAACACTTTTAATATTCCCGGTGGGAATACACGTGTTGCACTTTACTTTATTTGCACATTTTGCACAGATTTTGGCACTTATCTATATATTTATTATTATATATAGGATTTTAGGTTTAGCGCTGTACTGTGTATTATTTATTGCACAGATATAGATTTTGCACAGATTTTTAGCACATATATATATTTATTATTATATATAGTATTTTAGGTTTAGCGCTGCACTTTATATTATTTATTATTTGCTGTAACAGCCTTTAGGCCCCTTGCACACGGGCGTCATAATTTACTGATGTTTACTCTGGAACTTGTGATGCCTGTGTGCAAGGGGCCAAAAACTGTGTGTAAAGAACGGAGTAATGTTGAGTATAGACGAGGAAAGGTGTTTAAGCCTACAGATGAGTATAGACAAGTAAAATTCTTCTTTACTGCTAGTACTGTAGCCCATGCACACGGGCATTATGAGTTCCTGAGTAAACATCAGTAAGTTATGACTCTCGTGTGCAAGGGGCTTAAACGAGTAAACACGCGAGTAAATTACTGCACTCAAATGTAAAATTTTCTATTTTTGTTTTACTGCTCTGTACTCAACGCTGCATTACTGATCTTTACTCAGCTGTGTGCAATGTCCCATAAACAACAATTCATCTAATTTCAGAAGTGTTACCTGGAGTTTGGCTTTAATTTGTTAGTGTATCTAAATCTGCTAGTGCATCTATCCTCCTGCTAGTGCATCTATCCTCCCCCATATTACCAATACTGCTGTCTGAAGGCATTTCTGTGCTGCTTCATCCAGAGTTGAGGTACTCCTAATACAGGTTGTCGTCAGATCACCAAGTGAACAAATAGGGGGGAAAAGCCTAAAAAAATAAAACTAATGCAGCCACCACATTGGAGGATTGCTAAGCTGCAATATACTCCATTTTTGGTTTTGGGTTTAATATCGCTTTAACTTTAAAAAAGCATTTGACTTGCTGCTTTCGTCAGCTAATGATGTCATATGGTGGTCTTAATTCCACAAACACAGATTTTACTTTTTACATAGCATGACGCAGTTTGCAAATCATAACAGTGAACTGCACCTTTACATTTATTAACTGGTTAAACTAAAGATTGCTGATGGCAATTTAAAATTCTGAAAATATTCCTGTGTTCTGTGTATAAAGCAACATGAATCATTAGCTTGTATAACTATCAAATTCTTTAGCATTAAAAAAATGGGTGAACCATAAATGAAAATATTAGTGCAATAGTGCCACCTAGTCTCCAGCTTGAGTTACGCAACTCGGTCACTAAAACTGGTAAGGAAAGCATAGAAGGGTACAGCAAACAATTAAAGCTTTACAGATTTGAGCTACAGGTATGCATGTCTATGAAAAATGAAAGGTCTGCTTTGCTCACACAAAAACAGATTTACTTTACAAGCTGCAATAAAATTTGAATGGTAGAAGCGGACTGGTTTCTATAGGCAACTTGGGCAATCATTAAATACTTCCATAAATAAGACCTGTACTCAGGTAGAAAATTACTCTTTACGATCTTTAATCAGCACTCAAAAGTAGAAGGCCTAGTTCACACTGGCATTGAAAGCAGGTGTTTGAGGGGAGTTTGATACTATGAGCAGCACAGAGTGTTGTTCATACTGTCAAAATATGAAGCGTTGTAGCATTGTGTCGCTTCAAAATTGAAGCCTCATGTTGAGTCAGAAAGAGTTTGAAGCCCTTCAACGCCTCCCATTCAAGTCTTTGATGACGCTCCTCAAAAATGCACTGGCAGGCATTTGTAGAGTATTTGCCATGCGGTTGCGTGGCATTAATAACATTACAATTTATGTAGTTTGTGGTGTGGTAAACGCTTGTCAAACGTTTATAAAACGCTTCAGAACTGCACATAGGGCATTTGGGGAGCGTTCTTAATGCTTGTAAAAAGCCAGTCTAATGCCCATACTAAAGCTCATTAATGCCTGTCTAACCCCTATACTAAAGCTATAGCAGCTTTGAAATTTAGTCAAGTGTGAACATGCCTTATGGTGGACTTACAGATTTCTACATCCTTTGAAGAGAAGACTTAAATCAGTTTGATCTTTAAAAATCTGAGAAGCCAATCTCCAGTACAACATAATTACCCCTTCAAATATACACTATATTGCCGAAAGTATTGGATTCTGGAGCAGTGGAGACTTGTTCTCTGGAGTGACAAATCACACTTCTCTGTCTGGCAATCCAATGGACGTGTCTGGGTTTGGCAGTTTCTAGAACGGTACTTGCCTGACTGCATTATGCCAAGTGTAAAGTTTACAGGAGGTGGGATTATGCTGTGGGGTTGTTTTTCAGGGGTTGGGCTTGGCCCCTTAGTTCCAGTGAAGGGAACTCTTAAGATGTCAGCATACCAAGACATTTTGGGCAATTTCAGGCTCCCAACTTTGTGGGAACAATTTAGGGATGGCCCCTTCCTGTTCCAACATGACTTTGCACCAGTGCACAAAGCAAGGTCCATAAAGACAAGGATAAGTGAGTCTGGGGTGGAGAACTGGACTGGCCTGCAGAGAATCCTGACCTCAACCCGAAAGAACACTTTTGGGATGAATTAAGAGCGGAAATGTGGGCCAGGCCTTCTTGTCCAACATCAGTGCCTGACCTCACAAATGTGCTTGTGGAATAATGATCAAACATTCCCATAGACACACTCCTAAACCTTGTGGACAGCCTTCCCAGAAGAGATGAAGCTGTTATAGCTGTAAAGGGTGGGCAAACTCAATATTGAATTCTACGGACTAAGACTGGGATGCCATTAAAGTTCATCTGCGTGTAAAAGCAGGCATCCCAATACTTTTCACAATATAGTGTATTTCCAGTTAAATCTGAAATGTATACATCTTTATAAAGCACCTAACTCATGTGAGGATGACAACAGATGGAGTTTTGACCACTTGGTATCTAATACATTCAGCTGAAGATCACTAGATCTACTTAGTTTGAAGGTCAATAGGTCACTATCAAACAAGAAGTGATTTTAGGAAAAAACTCAGTGCAGTAAAAAAACTGCCACTGTAATGTTTAACTTATGATACAATTTGATTTTTTGTACCCAATTTGAACAGCTTGTAAGGCTTCTGTAAAAGTCAACCAGCAAAATGCAAAGTATCCACCAAGGGGATACTTTATGACATGCCAGTTCTGCCTGTTGGACAGGTAATAAATGGTTCCCGCCAATTGACAGACTAAACATATATAGCAAATAACAGTTTACAAAATTTAAACTTTATCATCCCCACCTCCAGTCTCTGTGTCTGGTCTTTACCAAGCAAGTCCCGTACTTCCTCATTATAAATCTCCAAATAAGACACTCTGACCAAAAACCTGTAACATACAAAATAAGAAAAAGACATTAATAACACATGTGAAATGGACAAATGATACAACCAAGCAAATTAACCCTTTCGCGCCGAAGGGTAAAACAAATCTTAACGCCTAAGCACAAATTTTGCAACTTTGATATGCGTTAAGAAAACTGTACATATTATCACAACTACTTTGTGCATCCAGGTGGATTATACGTTGTTTTTTTCAGGATACATTGTGCTTTCATTTCATGGTAAAATGGTAATGAATATCTCCTGATTTTCTTTCATCAAAGGAAAACTGGCTTAAAATAGTAAAACAAAAATTTTTTTTTTCAATGTGGCTGTATATTTCTTGCTACTACCATAACCTACCACCAAAGAACAACCCAAAATAATTTCTCGTGCACCTGACGACCACAGCGATACCACATATATGCATGTTAGTTGATGTTTGTACCTGTAGTACGGCCCAGAAACAATAGTGTGTAGTTTGATTTTTCTTTTTTTTTTTTTTTTTCCAGCCACTAACTGACACTTATTTAAAAATTAAAAAAAAAAATCCTGATCCCCCAAAAAATAAATACTGACCCTGACCCTTAAACCCTGACCTTGACTCAAACACTAACCCTGGCACTGACTGACCTAGAAAAAAACCTTGATCTAGGTTTTTTTTTTTTTTTAAACAAACTTTTTCTCTCTGAACAGACAGAGAAAGATATATTGCATCTCTCTCCTCCATTCAGTAAGAGAAAACACGGGGGTGGGCTCCACAGTGACTGATCATTGTGATAGCAAAGTCAGAGGCTATCACAGCGATCAGGTGACCTAGAATCGGGAATTCTAGGTCCCGATCGTTAGAATGGGACCCAGGACTTTCAATGAGACCCCAGTCTCTGTACTGGGAGCGTGCTGTGTGGCACACTCCCAGCAGAAAGACAGTTACGCAAATTAGCAGCCCCATGGAAAAAGGCCCAGTCTAGTGGGGCTGCTAATTTGCGTATGGTTGTCTTGAAGGGGTTAAAGTGGTTGTAAACCTCAGACATGAAATATGAATGAAGCTCTCTAGTGCGTACTTGTTTCAATATAGAGCACCAAGTGTAATTTCTGTCTGCTACCCTGTTCCTCTGCTATCAGTATGAATCACTTCTGATTTTCCTGACAACAATTTATTCTGACAGCTCAGACAAGCTTCGCAAATTCTGTACTTTGAACAGATGTAGAGAAGAGAAGAATGCTGATAAACAGGTACTCATGCAGGAGGATTTGTTTCATCTCTCTGCATCACCTGAGGCTTGTTACTTCACTGGGTATATGTAAGAGTTTACAACCACTTGACGACCAGCAACGTACCGGTATGTCGCTGGATTGGAACGGTGATATGTCGGTCATCACAGAATTGGTCTATTCTCTTGAATGTAAAAGTAATCCTAGCAGCTAAGAAGCTGCTGGATTCCTTTTACAGGTGGTGAAAGGGGTTACCACAGGATGACACTGGTGGCATCAGCTTCCTCGAACACAGTGAGATGAACTGATCTTGTTCTTCCCACTGTGTAATGTCAGAAACCAGAAGTAATGAGGATTTTGTCATTTTGGGTTTCGGTTCCTTTGTTTATAAGCCATTGCTAGCATATGCAGCAGCAGATCAGACTTGTTTTGATCTGCTGCTTTGAAGGCCAGAGGACGGATCTGGGGTCTCGGAGCCCAGGTATCTCCATAAAGAGGACCGGACATGGCCCATGCTATCACAAGGTATGTTTATCATCTCTTGTGATAGCAATAAAAGGGATTAAAAAAAACAAATGTACAGTGTAAAAATAAATATAAAATTGTTTTAAAGTGTCACTATCCCCTTGCTTGCATGCAAAGGCGAATGCAAACCTTGGTCCTGCACACATATGTAAAGAGCGATCGTACCACACACGTGAGGTATCACTGCAAACATCACAGCGAGAGCAATAATTCTATCACTAAACCTCATGGGTAAATCTAAACTGGTAACCTGTAAAGGCTTTTAAAGTGTCGCCTATGGATAATTTAACGTACTGTAGTATGTCGCTGTTCCACGGGTGTGTAGTTTTAAAGCTTGACATTCCTTTAGATTGTAAGCTCCACAAGCAGGGCCCTCCTATTCCTTCTGTACTGAATTGTATTGTACGGTCTCCCTTATATTGTAAAGCGCTGCACAAACTGTTGGCGCTATATAAATCCATATAATAATAATATTTGGTATCGGTTTACTTGGTGTAACATCCCAGGGATGTTTGATTCCTATCGCCGACGCCCAGGACATGTAGTTTCTTACTACCTTTAGCCCTGCCGCGGGCAAGCAGTGGGCTCACCTGTCAGGTGAAAGTATTCGGGCAGCAGCGCTGCCGCCTGATTGCTTCCACACAGTGCCAGCCTCTCTGCCCACCCCCCACGTGAGGTCTCCTAGGCTCCGCTTGCCTATCTACCCTATGTAATGGATAAAGAAAAGTAAAAAATTTAAAGTTACACCCAAGCACATACCATCCCCGCCCCAAAAACATTGAGGCTGCCTACCCCCACATATACGCACATACAAACATAAAAGTACACGCTGGGACTCCTACACTTGACAACGTCAATTGCAATACACGTCACATATCGCCATGCACGCCATAATAAGAGAAATAATTCTAGCACCATAACTGTGAATAGTGCAGCACTATAAACAAAATCTATCTAATAAGTAAATTAGTGTTAAATATTGCTTGCCATGCAAACACAATGGTGCTCAATGAAAAATTGTTGCAAACAAATACATCTCATTCAACAAATATACAAGTGAAACATAACCTTATTATGGTGACAGAATACAAAATAGTAATGAAGTGATTCTTTAAGTAGAAAAAAAACATCCAGTGCTAAAAAAAAAAAAAAACACACTGTATGTGACCAAACAGCAAACAAATCAAATTATATCTATGTTATTTAAAAACAAAGTCTATGCAAGTAAAACTGTGCTGATGTGATCTTCACTCCAGTGAAAATTAAACAGAAATCCTCAAATGGCAGCAATGCCTGCTCACCTCCACACATCGACCCGCGCAGGGCCACAGGGCTATAATTAATAGTAACAGGTCCTCTCCACTCCACATCACATGGACTTTGGAATAGGGTAAAGACCTCTGCCCAGTGCACCTTATTCACTCCACCTCCACTCAAGATTGCATATATAGGGTATAAAGCAAGAAACCTTCCATAGTGCAGTATCCTTTTATTTAAATTGCAGGAAAAAGTAGGTAAAGCACTCACATGTATCCCCAGTAACAAAAACGCCTGTCACCACATCCTATGGGTGTACTGCATGGTATACTGGGTATAGCAAGATGGCCGCTACCGGCAGTGCGTCAACTCGTACTGGAAATGAGTGCTTTACCTACTTTTTCCTTTCTTTGATTTGTTTGCTGTTTAGTCACATACAGTGTGTTTTTTTAGAGATTGATCTATGGCACTGGATGTTTTTTTTCTCCTTAAAGAATCACTACTATTTTGTTGAATGAGATGTACTTGTTTGCAATAATTTTTCATTGAGCACCATTGTGTTTGCATGGCAAGCAATATTTAACACTAATTTGCTTATTAGATAGATTTTGTTTTATAGCGCTGCACTATTCACAGTTATTTTGCAATATTACTTATTGGTTTAGTCAAGTGGCAGCAGCTTTAGTTTAGGTTTGTGACTTCCGCAATAAGAGCAGGAGGATATTTACTGTTAATTCTAGCACCAGACCTCCTCAGTAAGGCTAAACTAATGACCTATAAGGAGCTTTAAAAAGGTCAACCTATAGAAAATATAGGGTACTGAAGTTCTTCGACAAGTTGGATATCTATTTACTCAATGCAACCTCATCTTTTATATGTTACAAAAAAATAGGGTCATTTATTGTTTATTATTTTTTTGTGTCCTAAATTAACGTGCTTGTATTTTTTACTAAAAGTTTGTGGTAATATCATGCGACATAAAAAATTGGAACTATCACCATTTTATTCTCTAGGGTCTCTGTCTCAGAAAACAGATAATGTTAGGGGGTTTTATGTAATCTTCAGGCCTAAAATGATTTTCTAAACTTGTGCAAAAAACGCAAAAATAGCTCTGGCAGAGAAAGGGATAAAAAGGATAAGCCCTGACCCGCCCTTTCCTGAGGAGCAGCCAATCGGTGCTCATTAGGTCTCTCCCCTCCCTGCTAGTCCCCGGGTGCGGTGCTGGAGAGAGGCAGGGAGGAGGAGACATTCCAAATATCACCTCCTAATTAAATACAGTTCTGGTTTAAAAAAAATTAAGATTTTTTATCTGGACAAGTAGATTGGGACACCGATTTAGTCCCTGGATAAGCAGTTTTTTTTAAAAAAAAAAAAAAAAATTTCCACACCCCTGCATCATTTTACAAAAAAATTGGGAATTATATTGGGTTTGTATGCTCTAAAATTCATTAAAGCATATTTTTTCCCAAAAATATGCATTTAAAAAAAGACCTTTACACAAATATTGTGCGACAAACAAATTGTAATATACATTTAAATGTAGGAGATAAATGTCAGAATTGGCTTAGGACTCAAGTGGCTAAATGTGTAATAAAACATTGAAAATATTAAACACAAAATGAACAGGTTATGAAAACCTTGATGTATGTTTAAAAACAAGAATAAAAGGCATTCTATAGTTAGTTAATGTGAATGCCCTATCAGTTATGTATCATCTTGGGGCTGTGAAAGGGAAAGCATACCTTGTGTCTCCTTCTGCTTTAGCAATATGACCAAAGATGTGAGCAAATGAATTAGGGATGATTCCTCTGAGCTCCGGAACCGCTCGAACACCTTCCATTGTGAATGTTTTACCAGTGCCTGTCTGTCCATATGCAAATATAGTACCTAGAGGACAAAAAAAAAAAAAAAAAAAAAAAAAAAGCTTTATTGGTCACCACATGATGTCATTGAATTAAGGGACACACAACATTAAACAAGCAAAGCTAATACATTTACATTTGGGAAGAAAAAGAAAAAAAAAATTTATAAACATTAGATTGCCTGAAAGCTAATGCACATGAGCACATTTGCCCATACAGCATAAACACACTCCATTCTTTGGAGCCTGGGATGTATTAGCGGTGCATACAGCCACCCATAGACTTGAATGGGTGAAGGCCACTGTAGGATGCTTGCTTTAAATGGCACATGTGCATGGACAAGGTCTCCAATGCCAGACATTACATCTATGTGCATGCCCCATTTTATGCAAGCCTTTAGCCATTCATGTCTATGGGCAACTGTACACAGCACCAAGACATCACAGGCACCAAAATACACCGTGTGTTTGCTGTATAAGTGATTGCGCCCATGTGCATGAGCCCTAAAAAAAAAAAAAAAAAAAAAAAATGTATGTAGTCACAGTATAACATCTGTTGTCAGAAGATAGCATTAGTAAGCTTATCCTATTTAGTAGATAATTTCACTTTAACGTACAAAAAAAAAAAAAAAAAAAAAAAAGCTGCTTGAGCCCCTTGTTCAGACATTGAGGGAATTCTTTTACCAAGGTAGGTTCTTGGGCTCGGTTAACACCATGCAAGTGCGACAGAGCACGCAATGCATGTTTGCGTGGTGTGATTAGGGTAGGCCATTCATTTTATTGCGCTGCCCTACATGCATGAAACATGCAAAAGAAGTCCTTGACTCTTTCTAAAAATTGTGCTGCACCAAACCAAATGGTACTTTGTAACCATGCATTTTGGCATGCATGAACATTGGCATGATGCAAGGAGAATTAATGGCACCACTACACATCTGCTAATGGGCTGAGTGTTTTTTTTTTTTCTTGCATTATGGAAAAGTGCTCAATTGTGCACACAGACCCATGTTAACATAAATAGTCTTAAACCAGAAGAACAATAAACACTTTGTGGCACTTGGGCTTTTTTTAATTTTGAAAGTAGAAGCCCTGCCTAAGTGATTCAGTTTAGGGATAAAGTTGATTTGTTTTTTTTTTAATTATTTTTTATTTGAAACAGTTTCAACACAGTACAGATATAGGTACAGAAACACATTCTAATGTATCATGGCTGGGTGTTACATAGGAACTAATATCAGATACATAACAGCATTAGCCCATGTAAGAGTGCATACAGCAATGCCGGTGAGCGTCAAGATATCACAGCCTAGGCTGAGAGCAGTACCAGATTAATGTCACAGTAATAAAAAAGGGTCAACTGAAAACAAAAGTTTTGCAATCCAGATTTATCACAAATTACAATGGGGGAGCCAAAAATTAGCAAATATTGGACCCAAACACAAAATGAAAAGCTTACCCAATCATAGGAAGGGGGTAGAGAGGGAAACGAGAAACAAAACAGGGTAGAGAAAGAAGGAACATGCAAGACAAGCACTGGCAGAACAGGTAGAGCAGAAAGGGCTCCCCAAGACAAGGAGAAAAGGGGAAAAAGAATAAGGAAGTGGATTGAGGTGAAGTGGTTCCCCCCCCCCGGGCAGGAACAACAAAACCAAGGAAGTGGAATCATTGAGTAACAGACATCTCTCGTAGGTAAGAGTCAGTGTATATAAACTAATGCCATGGTCGCCAAGTTTCAGCAAAAGCTTCTTCCGTATTGTGTAACGTGGCCGAAAGATCCTCCATGCCCCTGATGTCATTATCTGTAGCATACCAAAGAGTTATCGTCAGCAGATTACCATCTTTCCAACAGAGTGGAATACAAGCTTTAGAAGCATTCAGGAGTTGCATAGTGAGGGAGCGCTTGTATTTTTTGATAGGCCTCTCCGATAGGTGCAACAGGCAGGCCGCCGGGTCGCCACTCATGTCAACATCAGTAAGTTGTTTAATGACATTGAGTACTCTCTTGCCAAAAAGGTTGAATCAATGGGCAATGCCAAAAAATGTGGAGCATGGACCCCTCCCCTGTCTCACAATGCAAGCAGGAGCCAGAAATCTGAGGAGAGATAAGTTAGGAGTATAACGAGGACCCTATACCATCTAGGGGATAATTTTATAGCCAGTTTCCTGGACCCTAGAGGCAAACGAGGATTTTTGGGAGAAATATAGAATCCTCTCCCTCTGCTGCCCCGTGAGTCGCAGGTCCAGGACTGCCTCCCACTTAGGCAGAAACGGCGGAACATAGTCAGCACCCGGGTGGGTTGGGGAAGGATAGATCTCAGAGAGGAAATGACAAACTGGTTCCCCCTTATGTCAAATGGCCTCAAATCGTGTAAGGGGTCTAGAGATGCTGGGCAGACGAGAACAACAGGGAAGGGGAAAAAAAAAAAAAAAATGGCAACTGAAGACCCTCCAAAAGTCCAAAGGAGGATCAATGAGGTGAGAAAGCTCTGTGGAAATGAGAGTCAGACAGATGCTTGTGTCCGGAGGCATGAAAACGAAGGAATTGGGGATAACACAAACCAGGACCAAACTCCGAGTTACCCAGAATAGGGATCATCAGGGAGGGCTGCAGGGAGACCCCCGAGGTGCTATCTAAGGTAGGATGTGTGCCAATATCTCTAGGTAACGGAGATGAAAGCCAGGGCCAGCTCAAAGCCGTGCCCTCGGAATCCTCAAGCTCCATATCCACCGAATGTTTGGCCCCCCCATGGCAATGCCAATCCACCACTCTAGTGAGATGAGCAGTAATACGCCCTAGCATCAGGAAGTCTGACACCCCAGAGAGCTTAGGCAATGTTAGGCGGTGTAAGGCCAAACAAGATTTTCCGTGTGCCCAGACAAAGTTCCAAAAAAGGGAACTGAGCCTGCGGGAAAACACAGGAGGGAGGCAGATCAAAGGGCTTGTAACAGATATAGGACTCTTGGAGCACTATCATCTTGAGAGCAGCACATCGCCCAAACCACGTCAGTGTCAAAGAATGCCAGTGGAGGAGGTCATCCTTCAGTTTCAGAAGAAACGGCTCAAAGTGCCCCATACAAACGAGAGAGATCAGAGGTGATGTTTGTACACAAATACCTAATAACTTCAGTTGCCCACTTGAATGGAAAAGAGTCTAAGTCTTCATACAGCAGAAGCGTCAGCGGATATGTTAAGAGCAGGGGATTTCGACAAATTGACCTTGAAGTTAGACAGGGAGCCGTACGTCTGTAAGGCCCGCAAGTTATTTGCAGAGGACACAAGCGGATTTTGTCAACTTTGCGACATCCCGAAGGTTTACAGTAGCCGACTATACTAGGGTCTGATCGAATCGTGCACAAAAAGAGTTCCAGTGTTATAATAAAAATGAGGGGAGAGAGGACAGCCCAGCCACCTCCCGTTCAAAATGGGGAAAAAAAATCTGACCGCGTCTCGTTAACCTTCACCATCCCTGAAGGGGAGGAGTAAAGGGCGGAGATCCACCATCGCATAGGGGTCCCAAGTCCAACATGTTCAAGCGTCGCTTGCATGAAGCTCCACTGAACCCTATCGAATGCTTTTTCGGCATCTGTAGAAAGTAGAATCAACGGACCTTTACTAGTCTTCGCAGCATGAATCAGATTAAACACCTGGATAGTGTTGTCCCGTGGCTCTCGTAAAGGGACAAAGCCCGCCTGGTCTCTGTGGATCAACTGTGGGACATGTGGGAGTAACCGGTTAGCGATGATCTTTGCAAAAAAAGATCAGTATTGAGCAGGGCTATCGGCCGATATCTACCGCAGAGGGCAGGGTCCTTATTTTATTTGGGGATCACTGAGATATAGGCCTGAAGGAAATCCGGGGCATGGTCCTCCCCTTCACCAGGGAGTTCCAGGCAGTCACCATATGAGGGCCCAGCAGGTCACCAAAGGTTTTTTTATTAAGAGACAGTGAAGCCGTCCAGGCCCGTGGCCTTTTCGGTTTGGATTGGGACAGAGCCACACCAAGCTCTTCCATCGAAAAAGGTGCATTCAGTTCTTTCCTAGCAGATAGTGGAAGGGATGCATCCCAGAGGCAGTGATGTACGAATGGGCATCAGAGGAGGAATCCACAATGGGGGAGGACGACACGAGATTGTACAGGTCATGGTAAAAAGAACGAAATTCTAAGGCCATGTCTCATGAGATAATCAATTTGGAGCCAGACTTGGAAGTGATATGTGAGATAAACAGACGGGCCTGTGGGCCCAGAAGTGCCCTGGCCAGAACAGTACACGGCTTGTTAGAAAACTCGTACATTGTGCGGTGGGACCATGCTAGCTTCCGCTTCACTTTGTTAAAGAGGAGAGAATTCAACTCTTCTCGCGTCTGGACAAGTGCTCCGTAAGTGTGGCGTGCTATACCGGCCTTGTGTGCACTCTCAAGCCGACACAAATGAACTAACAGAGTTTCAACCTGAAGAGTCCTGTCTTGCTTCAGGCGTGCCCCTATTTCCATCAAAGAGCCACAAATGACCAATTTATACGCTTCCCAAAGAACGAGCGAGCTACTTACCGAGCCCGAATTGAGGGAAAAGAAATAATTTATGGCAGTTTCCACTGCCTGCCTTATATCCAGAGATTAAAGGAGAGCTTCACTGAGTCCCCAAGTTGGTGGGCTGCGGACCACCTGGGCAAATCATAAGACGAGGGGGATTGAGATAAAATTGATATTTTGACTTCACGGAGCATTGAGTGCTGATATTTCTTTTCAAGGTTAATTTTTTTTTTTTTTTTATATTCGCTGTAGCCATTAAGTTGAAAGCATAGTAAATTTTCGGTAAAACACATTTTGAATTATCCCCAAGTACTAGCCTGCTCAGTGTTTTGACCAGAAAACAGTACAGCAGCAAATCTGTTCTAGTGTTCATGTCTCATGCACCGAAATAGATGGAAGGACTGTCTACTGGGTCAGTGTAGATAAGACAGTAATTTTATTAATTTCTATGGACCAAGCGTCATACATGCACAGTATAACATAGGCACCCGATTAA